TTTGTATATACAAAATTGTAATAGACTGAGAATATTTACTTATACAAACATGTGCAGTGTGCAGTTATTTCACGGTTTTAATCATATATTCCCCCCATTCAATGTAATTTGCGTTCTTCAAATTTCACCAGTGTGTGAAATATTTTAACAACACACATATGATTGTAATTTACCTTCCTTTAAATATTACTGCATTATATCTTAACATAGCTGTAATTAAACTTATTGGAACAGGCCCGCTGAAAATTGGCATTTAAAAGAGGTCACTTAAAACACAAAGCATATATACACCATATAAAGATTAGTTATGATTATCACTGAATTTAAATTATCTGTGCAATTTACATAATCACACTCGTGTTAAAAGTAAACAGATGAAACTGCAGTGAGATCTAAAAGTCAAAATTAAAATGCACATTTGCTTTTGAACAACTTCAGAAGGTTGCAGCATTTGGTGGACTTGAAGCAATATATGTTTGTTCAGTAATATGGGAAGATGTGACCAAGTATAAACTTAAATCCATAATAAGTGTAAAAATAATAAGTGAAAAGTTACACAATGTAAAAGGGTTCTCATTGAGTATTCTTAGATTGTAAAGATCTATAGAAATACACAAATAAATATATAGGTAACTGAGCAAACGAAATCTTATACCAAAGGATTTGATGAAACAATTTAATTAGAGTTCTGTTTAAGCTTTAATGCAATTCTCTGTTGCAGCTAGCTAAAAAGGTTTGAACGTTTGCATTTGTGGAATCAAGGAAAGACGTGTGACTTTGTGTTGCTACAACAGATCCTTCTGCAGGCTTGCTTTACTATGAAATAAAACAGTAAAGGAGACCCAGCATTACAACAATGCTGAACATATTTTTAAGATAAGGTCCCGTAGAAGGGAGAAAACAGTAAAAGGTTTCAAGAATGAAGATCAATGACAAACAATCTAAAAAGGTTAATATCTCTGTGACAGGAGAAAAAAAAATATATATGTTTTTTTTTTTACAGTACAATCAACCTTTGTTTCAACTATTTTCTACAAAACATTTAAAATGTGTGATTTTAATTTTTTTCTAATGGATTTTTCTGACAACACAGAATTATTATATCAGCAAAGATTCCATATGCTATGCATTCAGTTGCTAAAATATAGGTTTATTGACTAAACACGATAGACATTAAGGTAGCAAGAAACAGTACAACTGGAGATAACTGCAGCATAGTGTAGAGATTTAATATGACAAATCCTAAATATTTCACACTTAATTAACTTGTTAAATTCTGCTCTCATGCATACTTTGGTCTCATTAATAAAATCGATAAACATAAAACCATCCAAATAAAAGGTGTCATTCTATAAACTACATATCACAAGAATAGGTTTTTACAATCCAGATGAGTAGTCTAACACTTTATCTAGTGTGGACTACATGTCCCATGATGCTTTTCCAGCCCCTTGTACAAACATTGTCCATAACCACTGAGATGCCAAAGTGGGGGCCATAACAGATCAATGAAGTGCACAAAAACAGAAAAGGTAAAAAATAAAAATAAAAGTATGTTTGTAGTGTTACAAAACAGTTTTAAATGTTTAATTAGCACAGGATTTATTTTGACAAGTCTATGATTTGAATACATATGTGTAGAAATAAGCATAAACAAGGTCATGTTTCTGCCAGGGGTTATTTAAAGGCAAAGCTAAGCTGCACACAGCTCAGAATTTCACACACTACACAGGACAGATGCTGCTCCAAACAGTTCTCAAATAAAGAGATTTTTTTTTTTTTTTAAATTAATAGATATGAGCAGATTCTTGTCCCATTAAGAATAGATGAGAAACACACAAATAAAATAAATTTAGATGAATCTGCATGTAGGGACTTGTCTGAGTAAGCAATGCGTTATTGCACCACCCTCTGGAACTCCAAGGTTTTGGAAAACTAAAATTTCAGAAAAGATGCTTTGGTTATGCAAAATAAACTCAAACACCTATATGAACAAAAGAAGAGGAAAACAATCTGCCGAAAGGGTCAAAATGTAAACTTTGAGAATGAAAAATAGGCTTGAGCTGTATGGCCATTTTTGTTTTCTTCTGACAGTAACATTTCAACATTTTTTACTTGGAAATGCTAGAAATACATTTCTACAACTGCTTGCTGGTTTCACAACAATATCAAATTGCAAATTGCACATGGTATGCATAGGGGGTCACCACCACCCTATTCTAAGCAATACAAAACATGTCATATATGAATTTTAATGATCTCCTACATGCACATGCACTTGGGAGGTAGCAAAACATTTTTTTTTAAAGTTGCAGAGTCACTGTGCTTATTACACACACTTTACTGTGGCAATTGTTTTTGTGACACTTGTGAAGCAGATAAGCAATTTTGTGACAGTGTACACTAAAGAACAGTTTTATTTTTTATAAACAAGGTAACATTTGATTACAATGTAAACAACAAATAGATCACCACAATAGCATTTATATGTGTGTAATAATCATTAAAATAATATAAAGGGATTGAAAAGTCCAGAAAAAAAAAACCCCAACAAAAACAGACTTTAAAAGCTTAGAAGCATGAATTGGGCATGGGAATATAACACAATGTGCTTTCAGATCCATAGTTTCTGAAACAAACTAAAGTTATATAGAAAGAGATACAATTGACCCCACTTTGAAGTCATAATTATTGTAAGATTTACTTAAATTTAGATTTCCCCTAGGTAGAGATGAAGGTGGATTCTTCTCCATGTTGAGCATGCTGCCCTTTTAAAAACACCTTTCTCTGTCCCTGATCCCACGTGGAGGCAGCATCAGCAACCATATCTCATGCCATGCATGAAATAATGCAAAATGCATCCTTGCTTTATAGCAGTGATAAATGCACAGCTCTTATACACTGGACTCGAGTATTACCAGAGCAGGTGAAAGGCAAAAACAGCAAAACAGCTTTAATATTAAGAAGGATGCACAAGTGACAAACAGCACTGATCAAAAGAGGCAACAACTAAGTGCTATACAGGCACACGAGCTGGGTTTGCAAATATAAATTGGTAGTTTATTTTGTTTGCACCATAGTGAAGAGAAATAACTCAGATCACCTCTAGAACCAAAAAAATAAAATTAAAAAAAAAAAAAACACATTCTTGAACTGCTCTCACAAACAAATTATGCATATGGAAAGCTCCTTGCTTGCTGATCCACAATATAAAAAAACAGCAGAAGCCTCTTTACATTTAGCATCCATTTTTTAAAAACACCAGGTACAGCTCATACTGCAGTCCTGTTTTGCAACATTCTACATATCCAAATAAGCTTCTGCAAGTCTGCAAAGTTTATAAATATAATAATGAAAAATAATGAAAATAAAAGTGGCACTGGTGACTCCTCTAAGAGGAGCAGTCTGAAAAAGGCAAGCTTCTTTAAAGTTGAAAAGAACAGGGCCGATGGGCAGAGTGGATAATTTAGAAGTATTTTTTGGGGTATTTTTTTTTTTTTTTATTATTTTGGCTATGCCTCCGCTCTCCCTCCATTTTGGTTGTTTATGATACTGACAACAAGCTGTCCCAGTAACCCGTCCTCCAGCTGCCCCCCTGCCTAAACCAGGCTTCTGATCACCCTGTCCTCACTCACTTAGAAAGGCCAAGGGGTGCAACTTGTGATTTCACAGGACACCCCCAAAGCACGCTAAAGAGGTACCTATCAAAAAGCATTGCAGCCTTTAACTCCACTCCACATACCCACCCCCCAAAAAAGTGGACAGAAATAGTACAAGATCCCACGATTGCCAGATCAAAATCCCATGGGGTGAATGAAAAGATCTTGCACCAACTTTGAGGGAAGTTTGGGACATTTTGTGTAAATAAGTGATTTTTAATAATTTTTTTCTTCCCTTTTTTTTTTTTTAAAGCACGGTCTCTGTGTGCTTTAATGTCTTCCCCTCTCCTCCTCCTCCTCCTCCTCCTCCTCTCCCAAAGCCTGTACTGCTGTCACAATATCAAGAGGGAGAGAGTTTAAAGAAAGAATTAAAAAATACTAAACTATAGGAGCCTGTACATTAAAATACATATTTATACACACTTAACTCCCACTCTCTTGATCACCCCCCCCCCAAAAAAAACTACCTAACACCCTTCTGCAACAACAACCCCCTAAAAAAAAAAACCCCAATAAATACATAACAAAACATGCATAAGTTTTTTAAAAAAAAATACATATATAGATAAAATCAAGCAGGCATTTCTCAGTGGGACCAGACATGTTTGCACAGAATATAAAAATAAAAAAAAATTAAAAAAAAAATTACAAAAAAATTGCATATCAACAGAAAAATGGGACATCCATCCTTAAAAAGTTTGATTATTTTGCCCCCCTTGCCTTTACCCCCATAAAGCCCTTGCAGAGGGGAGAGGGGTGATTTGCAATAACTTTTTTCCTCCTCTCTCTCTCCCCCCCTCCTCCCCCTGCTCCCCCCCTTCCCATAATTTAAATAACCCTGATTTTTTATGCTTCAGAGGCAGCTGTCCCAGTCCAAACCCCCCACAAACTCACCGCGGGAGCCTTAACATCCTTCCTGCGGTCGATTTCCGGGGTTTAGGTGCCTTTGCGATTTTTTAATAATTTTTTTCCCATATTTTTGCCTGGACGCTACGGGCCTGGAAATTGTTTGCTTTCCCCTCTCTCCAGCAGCCATTGTAGTGTATGCGCTGCGGTGCAGCCCAGCTTGCGCGGCCAGCCGCGCCCACCCGGGGCCCCGCCTCTCGCTCCTCCCGCGCACCGCCTCCCCCAGCCGCCGATCAAAGGTCGGCGCGCGCGGCGATTGGCCGGCCGGCGAGCGGAGCGGCGGCCGATTGGAGGACGCTGACGTCAATCGCAGAGCGTGGGGTATTGTGGGGCGGGGAAGCGACGGAGGGACTGAGAGGGTGGGAGCGCGTTTGATTGGATGCACTGGCTGCCCATCTGATAGAGGGAACATGTGATTGGTCTAGGGGATTGTCCGTCTTTTAGAGGTCGGACCAGGGTAGCAGGTTAGTGTGTGACAGTACTTCAAGTGGCGTGAGGCTAAAAGTTGACGTATTTCGAATTGGAGTCGCCCGGGTGCTGTGAGGCGCTTTCTGTTATTACTGTTATTGATCAGCCGTCAGACTGTAGGCCGCAGGGTTATTAATCCGGGGGGTGACCGGCCAGTGCGGGCTCTGCACAGCCTCCCGCGACACATACCTTGCCGCCACCCGGCTGTGAGTGTCACTCCGCACAGCGTGTGCCCGAGGGTGAGTGTCACTCCGCACAGCCTGTGCCCGAGGGTGAGTGTCACTCCGCACAGCGTGTGCCCGAGGGTGAGTGTCACTCCGCACAGCCTGTGACTGACACTCCAGCCAGACTAGCTCAGGAGCAATGTCACTACACCTAACTGAGGGTGATTGCCACACTAGCTAGGCTGTGACTGGAGGGGGGGGGGTTGCCTCACTAGCCAGGTGGTGACTGGGGGGGTTGCCTCACTAGCCAGGTGGTGACTGGGGGTTGCCACCCTAGCCACGCTGTGACTGGGGGTTGCCACCTAGCCAGGCTGTGACTGGTGGGGGTTGCCACACTAGCCAGGCTGTGACTGGTGGGGGCCACACTAGCCTGCTGGTGGGGGTTGCCACACTAGCCAGTGGGGGTGCCACACTGCCAGGCTGTGACTGGTGGGGGTTGCCACACTAGCCAGGTGGTGACTGGGGGTTGCCACACTAGCCAGGTGGTGACTGGGGGGTTGCCACACTAGCCATGCGGTGACTGGGGGGTTGCCACACTAGCCACGCTGTGACTGGGGGTGGGTTGCCACACTAGCCATGCTGTGACTGGGGGGGGTTGCCACACTAGCCAGGTGGTGACTGGGGGGTTGCCACACTAGCCAGGCTGTGACTGCTGGGGGTTGCCACACCAGCCAGGCTGTAACTGAATGTTACTACTCCAGCAAGGGTGTGACTGGGGGTGTTGTGGTTGCCATTCCAGACAATTTCTCTTATCACTTAAGCCAGCTTGAAGTGGTGGTAGTGTCACTCATGGCCGGCTATGCCTTATGCTAGTAATGTCACTGTTGTCCTTACAGTGCTTTCAGGCCTCCCTCCAGTGAGTGCTGCTAGCACGTCTCCTTCACTCTTTCTTGCCCTTGCTGCTTCTGTCAGGGTCATCACTCCTTGAAGGTGCTCATGTGGCCTCCATAGTTACCAATCACAGAGAGGTTTTCTGTCAGGAACTTCTCAATCAGGGCTGTACATTAGGCTAAAGATTAATTTTTATCATTTAGTATTTGACAGTTTTCTGGTGTTTGGTTAGGAAGAAAAACTTGACATTAAGGATAGTAGTTTTATTTTATTGCCATTTTATTGCATATGATAAGACTAAGAAACTTCTTTTTACAGCTGCTATTTCTGATTTTGCTGAGATAGTCATACAACCCATTATCGTATAATTGTATTTGGTTGACCCATAGTGGAATCAAATTTCTGGTTTTGTGTAATGAAATAAAATACCCATTTCCTGTATTGCAGCCAATTTCTTTTTAAATATAATTGAATTTTTTTTTTTTTATTTTTTTTTGCTATTTTGGTCCATGAGATGTATAATATAATTTGGTAAAAATATCTATTTCAAAGGGACACTCCTGGACGCTGTGGTGCAAGATTTATCTTGCACCTCAGGACATACTTGAAAATGAGAGAAATCTCAATGTATCTTTCCTGGTAAAATATTTTATAAATAATCTTAATTTTTTTTTTTTTATTATTTATAGTTCAATCCCCCTCTTATAATATTGTAAAGTGCTACAGAATCTGTTGGCGCTATATAAATGGCAATAATAATAAGTCATACCTATTCATACTGTCAGTTGGAGCTCTGATAGGCTAAAAGTGGTCAGCAGACACACTCAGCCAATCACAGTTGCCCATTACTGCTCATTCTAATACTTCCTCAGTAGCCAGTGCAACACAGAGGGGATGGCCTGCTGTGGACTCTTGTTTAGTATTAAAACATAAAAACTGTTTAATGCTGGATGAAATGACAACAACAGGGGACTAAAGACACTATAACAAGATTAATTAGATGAAGCAGATACAGTGCCCCTTTAACTCAGGATAGCTAGCCGAAGAAGCTTCTAGTATGACAGTCTCTAGAGGCATTTAAGCCCTGCACTGGATCAAATAGTTATAGTGCATACAGTGTCTTTTTATCCCTGCAGTGCTGGGCCAGTACAATGGTTGAGTGCTTCAGATAATCTTTTTAGGTCATGCACTGCCTTACTTAGATGTGGGTGAGAGGAGGTTGGCATTGTCTCCCAACAGAGACCAAATAAACGGTGTTCCTCAGTAATGTGGCAAACATTTTAAAACAGATTGCCCCCTTAACCGGTCTCACAATGGCGTTTGAACCGTATATGTCATCTGCAGAAACTGGTTGCTGATTCTGCTGCTCATTAATGGGCTCCGTGATACTGGCAGACGTAGATTTGCACCCCAGGCAGCATACTAGTTAAACTTCATATGTGCAGCATTTCATCAGGCACCATGACTAGTTCTAATCACTGAAGTGGTAATAATGTATGAAGTACCCTTTAGCTAGTATGACTTTTTGTAATGTAGCCCTCATATTTTTCCCTACTTGAAGGGGTGTTGCACTAGGCAATATAATAAGCACCTTTTTTGTTTATACCCACATCTGAAAGTATTTGGCTATTGCCTTTATGGATGTTAAGAGATTTGTTTTGTAACACTTTCATTGGTAGTTTGGTTGGTCCTGTCTGTTTGAACCTATGGGTTCATATATTTAGACATTGGAAATAAAGTATTTTTCCTTTCAGAACTACTATAATGATATTTAGAAATGTAATCCCTTTATGTGCTGACCTGCAATGTTAACCTACACATAAAATCTCTGTCCTGATAACCTCTAAAACCTATTTATAACAAGAACTATTCTGAGTGAAAATTTCTGGGCTACTTCCAGTGTAACTGATAAACACAGTTCCATTTTTGTGATTTTGAGAAATTGACAACATTGTGATATTCTTCTAGTTTGGAATAGCAAGAATACTTTGCACTCCAACTTATACTGATTGAAAATTATGCAATTTAACATTTTAAAACTGATTTCAAATATATTTGCTGTTAGGAAAAGGATGTAGGTAGCCTTTCAACTGCTTCAGGATGTTGGGCTTTCCTGCATTTTGTTTTAGGTAAACATTACGTTACAGATTTCCAATTTTATATTAGAGATGGACCACTCCTGAAAATGGAAAGTGTGAGCTGTTGGTTTCATAAACAAGTATTCCAGCTATCATTGCATACATTTGTTTTGCCATTCTCCAGTTTAATTGAAGGATACATAGGTGACATTTTGATGCAACTCATTTTGTCAGTGCACAAGCAGAGGTATTGAATTGTATGAAGCCTTTACCTACAATGTTCCTGAATTATGCTCTAATTATTACTCTAGGATCTTACCAGGGGATATACAGGAACAGAGCAACTAAACATATTAATGTGTTGGTGATGAAATCAATGTAACAGAAGTGCACCCTACTTTGGGACACAATTGTGTGATTTCATAAGCAGGACCAGTAAGAATGGGTAATTGTTTCATCGAATGTAACATATAAACAGAATGGTGGCCATGCCATTGCTGGCGAGGGGTAAGTATTTTATTGACTATTAAATCCATATGTTTGCAAAAAATATATATATTTCTTTAAGAACTGTTCTTACTAAAGAACCTACTATGATAGGTTCATTTTAATGTCTCATATGTTCATATTCCTATTGTGCTCATTTTAGCACATATTTTCCCTAAACAATTTGCAAGCTCTTCACACTTGGTAGACCTTTCCTCATCCACATAGAATTGATTAACTGTGGTTAAAGGATCACTGTAGGGTCAGGAACACAAACATGTATTCCTGACCCTATAGTGTTAAAACCACCATCTAGCCCCCCTGGGGCCCTCATGCCTCCATAAATATAGCAAAATCATACGGTATTCAAGCCAGAAGCTGTAGATCTGCATGTTGTTTGCCTCAAAAAAAAACAAAAAACAAGCAGTCTGCTGACATCATCAGAAGTGGTAGCCTGATCCAATCACAGTGCTTCCTCATAGGATTGGCTGAGACTTACAAAGAGGCAGATCAGGGGCAGAGCCAGCATGATTCAAACACAGCCCTGGCCAATCAGCATCTCCTCATAGAGGTGAGTTGAATCAATGAATCTCTGAGGAAAGTTCAGTGTCTGCATGTAGAGGGAGGAGACACTGAATGTTTGGATGCATTTTAGGTAGCCATGACACAGGAAGGATCTCTAACAGCTATCTGAGGAGTGGCCAGTGAAGTTATCACTAGGCTGTAATGTAAACACTGCATTACCTCTGAAAAGACAGTGTTTACAGCAAAAAGCCTGAAGGTAATAATTCTACATACCAGAACAAATTAAATAAGCTGTAGTTGTTCTGGTGACTATAGTGTCCCTTTAATTTGTATCAATAGCAATGCCAGTATTGTTTTAGCATATAAATTAAGGTATGTAGGATGATTACATGGTATATTATACGATTTGCTTAATTTTTCTCATTTTATAGTTTTAAAGAGAGATGTCTAGAAATAAGCGAATGAGGGACCAGGACCTAAATCCCTGCATGAAGGTTAGTTTAATTTTAAATGCCTGTATAAACTTTTTTTATATAACCAAATATTGCCTTTGGTTAGACTGCGGCCTATTCATTTGAATTGCTTAATTTGACATAGATATTTCTTTAAAAGTATGTTTTGTATTTATTTAAAAAGATGGGTTGAAAAAAACTGACTAGCTTTTGTCTAAGGAAAGTGATGCGTCTTCGAAGTGCATGGACGACAACAACTACCAGAAGGAAATGTGTACCATTTACTTCATAAAGTACAAGAATTGTAGAAAGTTTTGGGTAAGTGGAAATTCCATAAGCTTGGAATCTATAACCAACTGCAAAAAGTATGATACAATCTATGAATATCTGTCATAACAATTTTTATATTTGAGTTGCCATCACTGCCAAATTTCTGTTAGTCAAGTAAAGAAGAGGCTGCAATTCCTCGTTATTTTAGGGAAAGAAGCAGTTAGGCATTGCATGCAACAGAGAAATTCAGGGTTATTCAATAAAGTGTGAATTCCAAATTTAAAGGAACACTATAGTGTCAGGAATACAAATGTGTATTCTTGTCACTATAGGTGTAAATAATTGTTTAGGCATCCGGCCCCCCTTACCTCCTGTTAAAAAATGAGATTTATTCACCTTTTTCCAGCGTTGATCGGGTCCGGTCGCTACTGGGCCGCCCCCTGTTGCTGAGATCATCAAACTTCAGCCAATTCAATGCTTTCCCATAGAAAAGAATTGGAAGAATCAAAACGACGCTCTGTACCAATCAGCATCTCATAGAGATGCATTTAATCAATGCATCTCTATGGGAAACGTTCAGCGCCTCCAAGCAGAGTGTGGAGATGCTAAACATGCAGTCATGACGCAGGAAGCACCTCCAGCGGCCGTATGATTTACTGCCACTGAAGGTGTTACTTGGCAGTAAGGTAAACCCTGCCTTTTCCCTGACAAAATAAAGCATCAACGTGAGACCTCAATAGCAATGTTGTAATCATCACACAGACTGATTGAATATACAACAAAATTTGAAAATGTTTAATGGAATTTATATTTTATTGAACAGAATGAGGTTATGACGAAAAGAAGAAGAGAAGGAGTGACACCCTATATGCCAACAGCAGAAGAGAGAGACAATATATTGAGGTCCTTCGAAAGTGTGCCATATTGAATAGGTGAAGATATATGCTGTTGTTTTTAACTATTATTACTGGAACAAATTTTAAACATTAAATTCAAGTAAAATCGTTGATATTATATTGTGGTAAAATATTTCTGAAATACTCACCTGACTTGAATTGCCATGAATGTGCCTTGCTTCCGAGTGTTAAAGTCATAAGTACTGGTGATTTTCCAGCTCGTAGAGTGGAGTTCCAGTGAGGGACCGTGTCATTGCTGGACTATCTAGGTAAGTTAAAAAGGTTACTCAAAGAATTATAACCCCCTTTAGTGGTTATGCTGCCAGGGGTACCCTGGCTTGGTTCTTCAGTAATAGGGTAAAATATTAGGGCTCCTGACTGAGGTTCCCACCTCCTTTGCTGATGCACTTTTGCAGAAGATGGAAGTTGATCCAGTTGTCATTCATTGTTTCAGAGGGTCAGCTGCCTTCTCTCAGCATGCTGTGGGAAAAATAAATTGCACAGAATTGACATTAGCCAGCCTGGAACCCTTGCTCTGGGATGACACCACTTTGATGCTACTGGAGATGGAGTTACAAGTGCAGCTGCTAATGGCTTTAAGCAAGGATGCCCAAAAGGTAGATCCCCAGAACTTGTAGAACTTTACCTCCCATAATGCCTTGCATGCCTTTAGAAAGAAGCTGTAGTTTTAAAACATCTGGGGATCTATTTTGTTCGGCATGCCTGGCTTAACTCTGTATGTGCAGCATTGCAAAGCGAAACGTGAACATGGTGCTCGGACTAACCTTTTAACACGTCCTTTATTGGAAAGGGGGCGCAAGAGGTTCCATAACAGTCCACCGTTAATATAAAACACAATTTATTTATTTATTTGCAATGCCAGTGTGTTTCTTTAAGTCCAAATAGTATATTTGCAAGAACTGAAAAGAAGAAATAGAAAACAACAAATAACCACACTTAATATTATCAGCGATCAAATTAAGATTCAGCATTTTGGTGGTTTATTATACAGGCAAAAAAAAGCAACATTTTGACACAAGTTATAATTCTAACTGCATGATACAAAGTGTTATATAGGTGATCACATGTTAATATCACATAATCACAATTGGTGAATACCAATTTAAGGGATATGAAAAGTAAACCCTTTACTATTACAAACAGAATTAACAAATATAATACAATGTATGGAAGTATATAAATTTACTGTGCAATTTCCATATATGACAATTACAATTCATTTGTGCAATTGATGTGAAACTAATCACCGTATCATATATTAATCAAAAAGTGACATAATGATTAGGAATCGTATATCTTTCCTATATTTATTGACAGTTACTCATATCTATCCTCTGTCTAAAGTGATATGATTTAAAACTTTTATATAATAACACTTCATGTAATACCAGCTTGCCTAAGAAAAGATGGAACCTCTATTGTGTTTATCTGGAGGAAACCAAAATATTGATCTGACAACATAAACACATCTTTTAAAAAAAAAAAAATTGACACCTAAAGAATAACAAAAATTAACAAATTTATAAAAAAAAAAAAAACATTTACATTCGAATGAATATCATTCTGGTCATTTATTTTGTTTTAAGATGTATTTTTATAATTCTTGATGTAACGTTTGTTATATACCGTAACTTGCACGTAAGATCTTAAAGGGACACTATAGTCTCCAGTACAACTACAGCTTACTGATTTTTTTTTTTTTTTTTTCTGGTGAGTAGAATCATTACCTTCAGGCTTTTTGCTGTAAACACTGTCTTTTCAGAGATAATGCAGTGTTTACATTACAGCCTAGTGATAACTTCACTGGCCACTCCTTAGATGGCTGTTAGAGATCCTTCCTGGGTCATGGCTGCCTAAAATGCATCCAAACATTCAGTGTCTCCTCCCTCTGCATGAAGACACTGAACTTTCCTCATAGAGATTCATTGATTCAATGTATCTCTATGAGGAGATGCTGATTGGCCAGGGCTGTGTTTGAATCATGCTGGCTCTGCCCCTGATCTGCCTCCTTGTCAGTCTCAGCCAATCCTATGAGGAAGCATTGTGATTGGATCAGGCTACCACTTCTGATGATGTCAGCAGACTGTTTGTTTTTCTGAGTCTAACAGCATGCAGAGTTACAGCTTCAGGATTGAATACAGTAAGATTTTTACTATATTTATGGAGGCATGAGGGGCCCAGGGGGGCTAGATGGTGGTTTTAACACTATAGGGTCAGGAATACATGTTTGTGTTCCTGGCACTATAGTGATCCTTTAATATAGACTAGAAGCAAGTGATGAAAGGAGAATAACAAAAAAAATGACTATTTACCGTTTTTTTCTAGCATGCCAATATCTGGAATACTTTTTATTCCAAGACTTTCCTAATTCCGCTTAGTATTACATGTGCCCAGAGTATCATGCTATTTATTAATAATACCTGTATGCATTATTACACACTGGAACACTGCATTTTGTATTGATGAGTTCACAGTCCCCTTTTCTTCTTGAAACTGTATATATCGTAGAGTATTTCAGCTTAGCATCCAGAAATGTCAGGAGAAAGAAAACTCCTACATATTGTATTGCATGTTATAAAACCATTTGCTATGTAGCGCAAAGGAACTATTAGGAACCAAACATAAACATCGTATGGATTTTGGGAATAGCAATCTTAAGAGTGAATGGATGTCTGTTATAAAAAAAAAAAAAAAAGTGCAACTGTGGATTTTAAAATCGTCTGACATGTTAAATACGGATCGCAGTGACAGCCTGTCACTGCGATCGGAGACTGCAGACGGCGGGCACTGGGCACAGGGGGCTGCCTGGGAGGCCAGTCATGCAACCCGACCGCGATCTGCAGCAGGGTAATGGCACCGGCCACGTGGGCGGCAAGGACGGCCAGGACGTTCTCTGACGTCCTGCGGCATTTAGAGCCAGCCCCTTAAGGACAGCATAGAACGTCCTGGGTCCTTAAGGGGTTAAACGTTTTTCATGACAAGTCCTTTCTCCAGATAATTTACAAAATTAGTCACAGGATGTTAATAGAAATGATCAAACAGTATTTAGTGAAAACAAAAGTCTAGTGTTAAAGGGACACTCCACTGCCCCCCAAAAAATCACTGTTTAGTACATATACCACAATGAAAATATGCATGCATCTAATAGTGCATTTTTCTTTGGAGGTTTATCTAAAAATAGCTTGCAAAACCTGCAGACCTCTTGTCTGCTGCCTTTGCAAGCCCTCCCCTATTAACCCTGCCCACACTTTCTATGGCTGTCCTCTCACAGACTTCCCAATGCAGCTCAATGAGAAGTCTTTGCAAGTCAGGTGCTCTGGGCAATTGCTGACTCTTGAGTTCAGTGAAAATAAGCTAACCAAACCAGAAAGTAACAGGACCTAATGTCTGCTTGAAGAGCCGAGGGGGTGTAACCAGTATAATTTGTAAAAGTGTAAATGTATATTAAAATCTGCATATTTTGCATACAAAAAAACCACACTCTTCACACATCAAGGTTTTCAGCGAGCTACTGTGCCCCTTTAAAGCAGCACTGCCACAATCTGGGACATTGCAGAGTTCGCAATGACCCCGGACAGTGACATTACTGCTTTGAGTACGATGGCGGGGGGAGGTAAAGGTTAGTTCTACTTACCTTTCTCTTGCATCAGCATCAGCACCAGGAGCCAGTCACTGCTGTACTTTTGCGCATGCAGAATTCATAAAGACTCTTTACATGACATCGCTGCTGGGGGTCCAGTCGACGGTGGTAGGTAGTTAAGATGAGTTATACTTACCTGAACCTGTCCCTCGCGGAGGTGGCTATCAACTTCTGGCATGTCCTCTTCAGCTACAAGTGCAAGAGTACAGTATTGAGGTCTATTGGGAACACACAAGACCTCCATAGACAGTCAATTTCTTTTACTGAACATACCTGGGAGGACTAACACTTCTAGATGATGGTAGTTCTGCAGAGTGTCTAGAAGTGTCACAAATGTTTTAGGGGGAGGCGGTGACAGTGCAGTGTATACTCATGTATAAGTCGAGTGCAGTTTTTTGACCAACAATTGTGAAATATGCTATGACTCGTAGATAAGTCGAGGGTAAAACTTGGAGTTATGAAATTCTGTAATTTTTATAATTCTGTCAGATTTTACCTAGGTAAAGATCCAGGAACAAACGTGTCAGCTAAAAACTGGATGAACAGGAACATTTTGTTTATTAACTGTAACGAATCCCTTAAATTTATTACTGGAAATTCTTATTCATGTCCTCCAAAATAGCACAAACATTGTTTGACCTATACAAGTCCATCAAACTCTGACTTGTAATCGTCAGAATGTCAGAATAAATCATGAAACTGTTCATCAGTGTAAATTTCGTCTTCGCTGTCGCCATCTGTTGAATCAGAATGTGAAGCTGATTCGTCTTTCTCTTCATAGATGGCAATGTCCTCTGATCCAACCACAGCATTAGTAATTCCACATTTCAGGAACGACTTATTGATCATTTCTTGTGATATTGAATCCCAAGCATCCTTTAACCATTTCGTTACGAAATCAATGTCTGGTTTCATAAAGTTCCCTCCTTTCGTTAACTTTGCTTGACCAGAACACATCCTTGCCACATTTGCCACATTTTGCGCAATCGGTCCTTGAAAGGCTTGTTGAGACAGACATCCAATGGCTGGAGCATTGATGTTAGGTTGCCTGGAATCACTGCTAACGTGGTCGCCATTTTCTTTGCTTCGTCCTTCACATCATCTGATATATGTGCTCGGAACATATCCCACACCAATAACAACTGACATTTTCTTAGCGCTGCGCCTGGTCGCCTGCCCCACACATTGCGCAGCCACAACTTTGTAACCTCCTCATTCATCCAGCCTTTAGGGTGAACACGAACAGTTACTCCTGCCGGAATTTTTAGGTTGTTTGGAATTGTTTTCTCTTGAATATTATCACTGAGCGCAGTTTAGTGCTATCTGCCAGGCAAGACAGGACGACAGTGAAATGTGTCTTTTCATGACCGCTTGCTTTAATAATTACAGATTTTTCTCTGTGTGCTACAGTTTGAGTGCCAGGCATATGAAATGTCATTGGAGTTTCGTCCATATTACCAATGTTATTCAAAACAAAGCCATTCTTTCGTCCCTGTTTGCTAATTAATTTTTGGAAAGAAATTACCTTTTCGTCAAGCTCAATAAGTCAGCTTTTGAGCGATCTTTGTTCGCTGACGAAGACACAATCCAATCTCTCTACCCCATGCTGCTCTGTGTGACTCGAGGAAGTGAAATATAATCACTTCCTCCCAGCACAGTGCCACCCAGTGATCACATGGGAAACAGCAATCTAAAAGCCAAATAGCCCGGGACTTGCATTACGCCCCATCCGACATTAAAGTTGTCTATCCTGCTCTCTCTCACTCACCCTCCACTATCTGTCACTGACCCTACACCCTCTACCCCTGTCACTCACTCTCCACTCTCTATCCCTGCTCTCCAACACTCACCCTTCACTCTCTGTCCCTCCTGTCTGTCACTCACCCTCCACTCTCTATCCCTGCTCTCCGTCACACTCACCCTCCACATCTGTCACTCAGCTTCCACTCTCTGTCCCTCTCACCCTCCACTCTCTCTATGTCTAGACTTTTTTAGTAGCCACTTAGTCACAAACCCTGTCCAAAGTTAGTGTTCGTATTGTTTTTTTTTCTATTTTTTACACAAATTGTGCACTTTCACTAATTATATCATCTTCATTATACATTTTTCTACTCTAAAACACTCATATTTTTATTCAGCGATGTTTCATGAGTACAACAGTACACCCCATGTACAGGTTTTTATGGGATTTTTGAAAGTTACAGGGTCAAATATAGGGCTTGCAAATTACATTCACAGGACTTTCTGCCTGGATTGTCAGGCAGGAACCCCAATATTAGTAATAAAATCACATAATTATGTAAAAACCATACATAAATACAAATTTAGAATTAAATGATAAATATATACAGTTGTAATCACAATTATTCAACCCCCATTGAAAATCAGGCTTATTGTCAAAATTGACAGACTTTCAGCTATTTGCAATGAAGAAATCAAACAAAGCTATTGAAATAACTCACAACAAATGCTTCAAGTGGTTTCTCCAAATTCAACTGAAAATGCAACTTATGACTTCTCCAGTCTCAAAACGTATAAGTATTGAGGCAGAAGGGAAGGCCCGATCGTTAGGGTGTGCTATGTCACCCTAACGGCATTAAAGCCCTCCTTTTCTAGGATGGCATAGCTTGCCCTAAGGTCAGAAAGGGGCTAAGCAGTTCATTTCAAAACATAATTAAGCCAATTGTAGATGTTGGGTTGTAAGGTAAGTTGTGTAAAACAGGCACACACTCTTAATATGTATATAAAACAAACTTAGCTTACTTGTGTTGTTATTTAGGTCCAAAACGTAAATGCCATGCAAGTTCACTCTGCACAAGATACAAAACAACCCCAGCAATCATTTTGTGCTTCAACTGTGAAGTGTGGCTGATATCTCTCTGGGTACAGTGAGCAAGTGGTACTCTGACAATCATATTCTAAACTCATACAAATGTCACTCATAGCTAAAGCAAAATCTTTGCAAAAGACAAGAGTGTGACTCTGACTCAAACCTTTATCTATACACACCTGGTTTATAGATTTCTGTTCATTAGAGAAACTCCAACTGTGATACCTGGTATTATGGAGACAGGCTCAGGGACTGAGTGTAGTGGCGTTGTGGAGTCATTTTTAGGCACCAAGAGTAGTGGTATTTTGGAGACTATGGTGAGGACTAATAGAGAGCAGTTGTTGTTGGGGTTTTTTTTAATAATAAAAAACACGTAGAGCTGGACAATAGTGGTCTCGTGAGATGTCTTCCCGAAGCTACTGCTCACAGAGACAGGAGATGTATTTGTAATATTGTTAAGCGAGCAAAGCAGGAAGGGGAATTGGATGTACTTGTCAATATAGGGACAAATGTCTTGGCTTGCAATGAGGTTTCAGAGGTAAAGGAAGTTTTTTGTGTTTTTGCCAATGATATATAGCAGGTTGCTTCCACACTGTCATTCTCTGAGGTTCTGCCTGTGCATAACACTCAGAATGACAGGCGGATGCGTATTAGGGACTTTAATTTGTGACTTGGTGAATGGTGTTGGGAGCAAGGATTTGGCTTCATTTCTCATGGTAGCTCTGTTTACAATGGAAATAAACTGTACAAAAAAGATGGTTTGCATCTTTCTCAAAAGGGAACAAATGTTCTCAGTGAGCAGTTCAGAGGTTTTGCTAGGATGTATTTAAATTAGGAGGGGGGGGGGACAGAAGGGTGATAAAACATCAATCCAATTGCCCCCTAAAACAAGGACAGAAGGTACCTGTAGCAAGTGTGTTAAAAAAAATTATAAGCTTAGTCATGTCTACAATGATAGCAGTTTAGGGAATTAGATCCATGAACTTGTGGCAATAATGGCAACTGATAATGTAGATTTAGTCACTGTTAATGAGACATGGTATAATGAGAAAAATATCTGGGACATAGCAATACCAGGGTACTCTATATATAGAAATGACAGGGAAGGCAAGAAAGGGGGAGGGGAGGCCCTGTATGTGAAGGATAGCATAAAACCTAGCCTTATAAAAGTTAGCAAGGCAAACAGGGAGTCTGTTATGTTAGAATTTGGTAATCACACAGTAACGCGTGTAGGTGTGATTTATAGGCCCCCAGGACAAATAGAAGAGTTAGATAATCTACTAGTTGAGGAAATAGCTAAAATGACAATGAAGGGGCAAGTTATCATCATGGGTGACTTTAATCTGCCTGATGTGAACTGGAAAACCAAAATAGCTGCTTGTGCCAGGAGCACATATATTCTAAACTCCCTACTGGGATTGTCTCTAAAACAAGTCGTTGAGGAGCCAGCTCGTAAGGAGGCCATACTAGATTTAGTGTTAACAGGTTTGGTATCAGATATTACTGTAAGTGAAAGTTTAGGATCCAGTGATCATCAGTCAGTGTGGTTTAATATAAGAACAGTGACTGAGTCAAACCATACAAAAACAAAAGTTTTAGACTTTTCTAAAATTAGAATATGTGTAAAGGAGTCATTATCAGACTAGAGCAATTTAAATGGAGTCCAAGAGAAATGGAATTATTTAAAAGTTGCACTGCTGAAGGCAACGGAAAATTGCATTAGGCTTGTCAGTAAAAGCAAAAAATTAAAGAAACCACTGTGGTACTCCGCAGATGTGGCCAAAATAGTAAAAAACAAAAAGTTAGCATTTAGTTATTATAAAAAAAAAAAAAGAGTGAGGAAGACAGAATGATCTATAAGATTAGGCAGAAAGAGGCTAAGCAAGTTATAAGAGCTTACAAATCACACACAGAAGAGAAAATAGCAGTCAGTAAAAAAAGGGGACAAAACATTTTTTAGATATATAAATGAGAAAAGGAAAGTAAAACAAGGATTAGTTAGCATTTGCGCTACATGTCTGTCCAACCGTAATTCACCTCTTTCATAGTAAATGCACCCACCCTTATTATATATCATTTTATTCAGGGGAAACAGGGCTTTCATTTAATATCAAATATTTAGCTATGAAACATAATTTAATATGAAAAAAATGGGAGAAAATACGATTTTTGTTAATTTTTTTAGTTCTACATGACCTTTTAACGGTCAATGTCATAATACTGTTTGCTTTTACTGCAATAAAATACACATATTTGTATTCAGTAAAGTCTCATGTGTAAGACAGTACCCCGTATGTACAGGTTTTATGGCGTTTTGGGAAGTTACAGGGTCAAATATAGCACGTTACATTTGAAATTGAAATTCGCCAGATTGGTTACGTTGCCTTTGAGACTGTATAGTAGCCCGGGAATGAAATTTACACCCATAATGGCATACCATTTGCAATAGTAGACAACCCAAGGTATTGCAAATGGGGTATGTCCAGTCTTTTTTAGTAGCCATTTGGTCACAAACACTGGCCAAAGTTAGCGTTAGTATTTGTTTGTGTGTGAAAAATGCAAAAAACACCAATTTTGGCCAGTGTTTGTGACTAAGTGGCTACTAAAAAAGACTGGACATACCCTGTTTGCAATACCTTGGGTTGTCTACTATTGCAAATGGTATGCCATCATAGGGGTAATTTTCATTCTTGGGCTACCATAGGGTCTCAAAGGCAACGTAACCAATCTGGCGAATTTTAATGTGAAAAAATGAAACGCAAGCCTTATATTTGACGCTGTAACTTTTGAAAACACCATAAAACCTGTACATGAGGGGTACTGTTGTACTCGGGAGACTTCGCTGAACACAAATATTTGTGTTTCAAAACAGTAAAAAGTATCACAGCAATAATATTGTCCGTGTAATGCTGTTTGTGCGTGAAAAATGCAAAAAACTTCACTTTTACTGGCGATATCATCGTTGTAATACATTTTACTGTTTTGAAACACTAATATTTGTGTTCAGCGAAGTCTCCCGAGTAGAACAGTACCCCCCATGTATAGGTTTTATGGTGTCTCGGAAAGTTATAGGGTTAAATATAGTGCTAGCAAATTAAATTCCCTTTACTTTTGGCATGAGTTGTCAGGCAGGTCCTGCTAATTGTAATTAATTAAGATACCTAATTATGTAAAAATATTACATAAATATATGTAGAATTAATATATGTATATATATACGTATGTGTATATATATGTATATATCTATATATAATTTTTTAAAAATATTTTTATTTATATATAGGTGTATATATATAATGATATATATATACGTATATATTTATGTATATAGATATATATAATTTCGTTCTACGTGTATTTTGATATATATATATATATATTAATTTCACAATACAGTTAGAACGAAATAACACACATCTATATATATTTAAATTATTTATTTTTAATTATTTTTTTAATTTTATTTTTTAACGTATTTACATTTTTATTTTTTTATATTATATATAAATATATATATATAACAATAATTATATATATATTTAATCAGTATCAGTCTACGTGTAATTTGATATTAATATATATATATATATATATATATATAGTAAAATACACCTAGACGGTGTATGTGTGTGTATGTATATGTGTATATATATATACTTAGATCATATATATATATATAATATAAATATATGATCTAAGTATATATTATTTTTTTTTTTACACTATTTATTTATTTTATTTTTATTTTCAGCCAGCAGGGGGACCACCTGTCATTACAGGCAGCCCCCCTGCTGGCAATGCTGCAGCCAGCTACCCAGGGCCATGTGATTGTGGGGTCCTCGCAAGGACCCCACTCTCACATGGCCGTGGGGCTTCGAGGAGGACGGTCGTGCCGTACTATTACGCCCGGCGGCGTTTAGAGCCGCTTAGAATAGGGCGTAATAGTACGCCCTCCGGTCTGAAGGGGTTAAAAACAAAAGAAGGAAGGTATGTAGAAGAGGATAAAAGTCTAGATGACTGCCCCAATCAATATTTTTGTTCAGTATTTACAGATGAAAATTAAGAAAAGAGGCCTCAGTTAGGAAAAAGGACAAATGAGTCGTTACATGTGAGTTTAAAGAGGAGGAGGTTCTATTTCAATTGTCAAAAGTAAAGACAAGTCAATGGGACCTGATGGAATACACCCAAAGTTATTAAAATAGCTTAGTGGTGTACTAGCAAAAGCATTAACAGATTTATTTAACCAATCATTGTTAACAGGAATAGTCCCAGAAGATTGGAAGTTAGCAAATGTTGTGCCCATTCACAGGAAAGGTAGTGGGGAGGAGTCGAGCAACTATAGGCCAGTAAGCCTTACTTCAGTAGTGGGGAAAGTAATGGAAACCATGTTAAAGGGTAGGATTGTTGAACATCTAAAATCACATGGATTTCAAGTTCAGAGACATGAGTTTACTTCAAGGAGATCATACCAAACTAATCTTATTGATTTTTGCGATTGGGTAACTAAAATAATAGTTACATTGCTTACCTAGATTTCAGTAAGGCTTTTGACACTGTTACACATAGAAGGCTTATCAATAAACTGCAATCTTTAAGTTTGGATTCCAATATTGTTAAATGGGTAATGCAATGGCTGAGTGACAGGCAACAGAGGGTTGTAGTCAATGGAGTATATTCGAAGCATGGGCTTGTCACCAGTGGGGTACCTCAGGAATCTGTACTTGGACCCATTCTCTTTAATATTTTTATTAGTGATATTGCAGAAGGTCTTGATGGTAAGGCATGTCATTTTGCTGATGATACTAAGATATGTAGTGGGGTTGATGTTTCAACACGGAGGGATAAGTCAAATGGCAAATGATTTAGGTAAACTAGAAAAATGGTCAGAGTTGTGCCCTGTCCATGTCTTGTTCATGTTTCCCTCATGTATTGTGTACATGTTATGGGTTCTGCTTTCTGTCCTTCTCCGGTTCTGGCTTCTTCTAGTCTTGTCTTGCTATCTTGTTTGGTGCCTATTCTAGTCTTGCCTTGTTTCTAGTATTGGATATATATCTGCTGCAGAGCCTCCCTATCTAGATCCTGGGAAGTCTGCATATTCTCATCTAGCACCTGGGATCTGCAGAAGCTGCATCAGGGCCCTGGTATGTGGCCGCACAAACGCTGGTGCTCAACACTAGGTGGCGTGTGGTTAGCCAGCACCAGGCCCTGATCGTCAATTTCCACGCTGTGACTCCTATCATCATCAGGCATACAAGAGTCCCGGTCTCTGGACTGCCACCCATGACATATATATATAAATAGTTGATAAGTAGTAAAACATCAGGTATTATCTATCCGTTTTAATTACAGCTATGGAAATACACAGTTGGAACATCAGAGCAACAACAGAGCACCCCACTTGGCACTTTATAACCTATGCCCTAGAACTCCCTCTTTTAAATTGTCCTGGTGATGACAACTTTTCTATTAGAACAGATGTGAGCAGGGCCGGTGCCACTGTAAGGCGTACTAGGCATTCGCCTAGGGTGCGGGCCGGCTGGGGGCGCCCACCGGGATATTGTCCTTCAGTTTGGCAGAGTTGTCCTTCAGTTTGAAACTTCTTACCTTGATGACAGGTGCCTGCTCTGCCATCAAATGCCTGTTGCCCCAGAGTTGAGTTATTTTGAGGGGACAGCAAATTTACACTGTTATACAAACTGCACTTATTACTTTACATTGTAGCAGAGTGTAATTTCTTCAACGTTGTCACATGAAAAGATATAATACAATATTTACAAAAATGTGAGGGGTGTTCTCTTCTTTTGTGAGATACTGTGTGTGTGTGTGTGTGTGTGTGTGTATATATATATATGGTTAATTATTATGTAGTTAATATTTAACTATTAACTACATAAATATTTGATTTTATTAATTATAATTTGAGGGACCTGCCTGACAACCCAGGCAGACAGTCCAGAGAATTTAATTGGCAAGCCCTATATTTAACCCCATAACTTTCCAAAACACCATAAAATCTTTACATGGGGGGTATTGTTATACGGAGACTTCGCTGAACACAAATATTAGTGTTTAAATCAGTAAAACGTATCACAACAATGAAATCACCAGTAAAAGTTCAGTTTTTGTGCAAAAAACTAATATGAACATTAACTTTGGCAAGTCGATACTGCAAAAGACCTGTATTTGTGGGGTACTGCTGTACTTGTAAGACATTACTCTACACAAATATGTGTGTGTTTTAGAGCAGTAAAATGTATTATACTGATAATATCATCGGTGAAATGGCAGTTTATGTGTGAAAAATGCAAAAAAACTAATAAAAATTTTGTCTGGAGTCATACCCCTTTCAAAAAAAAAATGTTTTACATTCTTTATTTTGTGTGTGCAGAGAGTAAACAAGCAGATTTGCACTGCCACAACAGCTGGTGCAAACAGATTTTTAGACATTTGATAACAGTAGAATGGCATCAAAAACATTGCACTTTTTTTTATATAGGGGGAGTAAACAAGATTAAATTTTAAGCTTACATATCACAGCAATAATCAGTAAATACTGGTTTGTGTGATAGGTAGCATGTCGGCATGTCTGAGCCTGTAGAGCTAGCCTTTAGTAAAAGATAGGTTTAGCACTCAAGATTAACATGTTAAGCAGGCTGCACAAACTGACTATATGGTGGATCACATGTATATGGCATCACAGGCTGTATATGTGGGAACATGTATGAATAGAACTTCTGGTCACCTGGGCACCCAAGCCATAGGTTAAGAGGGCCCAACAGTACAAGAACCATCTGGTACAATATGATGAACGAGAGCTAAAGTAATACTTAGAGAACAGAAATATCAACACAAATATGATGTAGCCTCTCTGGTATGTCATCTGACCTAGCCTCCTCCATAATCCCTAGGTGGGTACACAGTGAGGTGATTATCTGATCCCTGCCAGAGGCAGAGGTGAGTAAGACACAGGTAAGTCCAGATGGGGAACATCTCCAGCGCAGAAGGGCATGATACTCCTCCGGCCCCAGGCCAGTATGAGGGCCTCCATCTGGGTTCCATGGACTTGGGAACCGTGAGGGGCCAAGTCCTGGGGACTGGGTGGTAAGCACCTTTTTCAGCAGGCATTCCTCTGCTTCCGTGGGTGATGTATGAAGGTTATGCCTTGGGGGGGGGCCTTGTTCTGGGTGGGTGAACTGTAGGGTAGGCCCAGGCGTGTATAATAGTTTCGCCTGAAGGAGATCTTCTCCGTCCCAGCTCGGTCCCCTGTCACTAGGGCATGACCAATGCCAGTGGCTGTCACCTATTTTCCAATCTCTACCAGAATTGATGGCATATTGCTTCAAATTTATGTGTGAGGGCTGCTTCCCATTAGTTTAATGTCGTTTGTTCCACAGGGATTGCGGTGCTGTCGACCATCTTAAAAAGGCAGCGTGTCAGCTGTCTACTGGAGATTCTCCCAGGAGCAATCCAGTGAGTGCTCGCTTGTTGGGGGACTGGGATAACACCCACTGGCCCAGAGGGGAGGGGAGTGCAGGGCTCTAATAGACATCCAAGCAAGGGAGTCAGGACAGCTCCAAATGGAGTGATCGGCCGCTACACCCGCCGGGGAGCCAGCAGGCCGCAGGAAGCTGTAGGCCACAGTCACTAGTCTGAAGTGGTGGTGCCGAGACACTCTTCAAAGTTGCCCCTGCCTTGTCTTGTAAAAGCAACAATGTGTGAAAGTCCAATAACAGGGTATTTGTGTCTGGGAAAGCTTATATTAATTGTGTTCAGGCAGGAGCACAGGCTATGTGCGGCCTGCCAGCATGGTGTCCAAGCCTCGCCCCTCGACATACCCCATTTTGAATACTGTGGGTTGTCTACTTTTACAAATGGTATGCCATAATGGGATTAATTTTTCATTCCTGGGCTGTCATACAGTCTCAAAGGCAACATAGGCCCAGCAAACCAATCTGGCAAATTTCAATGTGAAAACATGGAAAAGGGGAAAGCCCTACATTTGACCCCTGTAAGTTTGCAAAAACCCATAAAACATGTACATTGGAACACTGTTGTACTCAGGAGATGTTGCTGAACACATATTGGGGTTTTCTTTGTCAGTAACACATAACAGGAACTTCGAATCCATGCCTAAAGTACAATGTGAGAGAAAAATAACACAAAAAAATGACTACCCAAAAGTTTGAAAAAGACTGGTGATAGAATTCGTGCATGGAAAGTGTTAAAATACCACCATTTTAAAAAATACCCTAGGGTGTCTACTTTTCAAAAATATATGGTTTGATAGGGGTATATTACATTGGCCGGCTTCAAAAATGTCCCAAATAGGACATGGGTGCATGATGACCAGCTGTGAAAATTCCACTATTTTTGGGTATTTCTAAACGCAGGACAAAATTTAGAAACTATTTAGCATGGGTATTTTTTGGCTGTTGAAGATGCGTAACAGATTTTGGGGGTCAAAGTTAGAAAAAGTGTTTTTTGAAAAAAAAATGTTTACACCATATTTTTTAAAAATAAAATAAAATTTATTAAAAGTAAATTACATGATATGATGAAAATAATGGTATCTTTAGAAAGACCATTAAATGGAGATAAAAATTGTATATAATATGTGTGAGTACAGTAAATGAGTAAGGGGAAAATTACAGCTAAACAAACACCTCAGAAATGTAAAAACAGCCCTGGTACTTAACGGTAAGAAAACTGAAAAGTGGTCTGGTCACTGGTCAAGGGGTTAATAAGGTGAAAAAACAGGAGCAGTAAAATATATCTAGATTTTTTGTATTGTGTTTATATATTATATTTAATATATAGTATATAGATTTATTTTGTACTCCTCCTTCTTTGATAACAGAGGGAAACTTTATCGGTTACTTCGAGTCAAATCCATTGACTGACAAAATAATTTTTGGATGAATCGATTCAGTCAAATCAAGTGTTTTCAGCGTGTACAAGTCTAGATTAGAACACATCCAGTGAGAGGTAGCTCCAGGTAACACAGAAATCATTTAGTTCCATTTTGAAAATTCATGTTTTTAGAGGCGAAACTTTAGACCAGTTAACCATGTCCGGCTCTGTCTGTTAATTTTGTTTGCATTTTTTCCCTGACACAGAAGTTGTGTTAACCCTTTAAACACATGAGTGGTGAAATATGTTGCAGCTATATTATGACAGTCATTGGAGACATCTCTTACAAGAGATAAAAATATGGTATATTATTTGATATTTGTAGAGGTTTCTGTATTGTAGAAAAGAGAATGTGGCCATTGATCTCTGGCAGGTATTCAGTTGACCGGGCAAAAATAAGAACCTACTATACTTGATTTGCTGTGACTATGCAGATTTACTCCTTGCAAAGTCAAACTACGCCCCATCATGACATATCACTTGTTAGCTTTATTTGTTTGCCTTTTTTTGGTTGTCTCCATTGTACAATTAAAAACAAAAGTAGTCGTGATGAAGATATATAGGTACCCTTATTTCACAAGATTTTAACATACACTAATGTGGAGCAAGTGCCAGAAATACATGATGCATGGCAGAGGAATTGGGGACACAGAGTAACACAAGGTGAAAAGAACAGGAAACATAATTTCAATGTTTTAGAACTTTAGTGCTATCTGTGAAAGAAACAGTGATTGTATTACATTCCAACACCATGTCATTTCGGAGGAGAATAAGAGTATCTATAGGCAATTATAGCTCTTATTAAAACTGCTTAAAACTTCTGTCATATTCCATTTCTACTAGCGATCTTTAGCTCTGACATATGAGTTACCTTTTCTCATATTTCAAATTCTGTGTAGAAAAAAAGGGGGAATTGAGGACACACCTGGAAAAGGCTAAGTAGCGGTGCTGCTGTATAAACCAAAATATATACAAAATACAGATTAGAGAACAGCGCATATAAAATATGGGATCCAGACCAGATTCCTATTGGGCTGATATTCCCATCCATCCACTATAGGTGCCCCTTTGGAGGTGACCACAGGAAAGCTCAGTGCGTGCGCTGTTCCCTAATTTCTATTTTGTATATATTTTTGTCTTTACAGCAGCACCACTGATGTCGCAGGTTTTGAGGGAGCGTGCAATTGGCATGCTGACTGCAGGAATATCCACCAGAGCTGTTGCCTGTGAATTGAATGTTCATTTCTCTACCATAAGCCATCTCCAAAGGTGTTTCAGAGAATTTGGCAGTTCATCCAACCGGCCTCACAACCGCAGACCATGTGTAACCACACCAGCCCAGGACCTCCACATCCATCATCTTCACCTCCAAGACTGTCTGAGATGAGCCACCCGGACAGCTGCTGCAACAATCGGTTTGCATTGCCAAAGAATTTCTGCACAAACTGTCAGAAACCATCTCCGGGAAGCTCATCTGCATGCTCATCGTCCTCATCTGGGGCACTTTGGAGAGGATTTCTCTTCATGGATGAATCCTGGTTTTCACTGTACAGGGCAGATGGCAGATGGCAGACAGCGTGTATGGCTTTGTGT